AGACATCACTTTGGGATCCATTCGACAGACAACTGGTTCCCTCTCCCAACTCATTGCCATCGCTGTCGTGTAATCGCAAACCACTTAATCTATCACTCATTTCATCCAAACGACCACTACTTTCATCCCTATTCTGATCCATACTTCGCTCCAAAGGTATCACAAAAACAAATGAAACTTTAAAAACAAAAACAAATCCAAGAAATGAGGCATAAATGGCATACAATATGTTTGGTGAAGACATTACCTTTTGGTTCAAAGTTTGACAAAAACTTTATACGAAAAGCAAAAAGTTGTGACTAAATAATGGCCCAAAAGTTGCGATAATAAGTGAATCGCTTTTGAAACGCAATTTCAATATTTATGCGAAAAACTTATTAAACAAACGCCCACTGAATGTACGCTCAGTTGACTCACTATTGGCGTCACTTTTCAACACTATTACCACACTTTCGCTATCTGTTTGACAAGTTTTGGTCTGTTTTGTGGTAATAATTATCACAAAACGTTTGCCTACATTGCCATCAATAGTATAGTACAAGAAGTGATTGGATGCGAAACACCATTCATTGGCGTCGATAGCGTCTCCAGAGTGAGTGTTGCCAAGAGTTATACGTTTACGCGACGTCTCCATCGCATCATTTTTGTCGCACAAAACTTTGGCAAAACTTTGTGTCTTTTGACACCAAATAAATATGTGATTTAGCCTTCGGTCGCGTTTTTGGCCATCAATTGCACACAATTGTCACACAACACAACACCACACTTACCGCCCCCACAGGTCCCCGAAATTATAAGCACTCAAAGAGTACACACTAGTGACACGAGTTTAGGGAAAACTTTTTATTTGATTGAAAACTATTTGTTTCATTGAAAACGTGAAGCTTTTCGATAAGAATTGAATTCAAATTAAATGTAATTTAATGAATGAATGCATAAACACTTGAATTACAACCACACGACTCGTATATTAAGACTTAATGCTAAGAATTTGGATAAAATTAAATAAAATCTTTGCGTCGACGGGAAGACCACATGAATGAGTTGTTTCTGAAATGCAGCTAAAAATAGACGGAAACAGCAATTAGTCAAAGAAAGGGATGAGAATCA